GAAAAAAAGTATCGTTTAGTCTTGGTGAAGACATAAAAGCTCTTGGCCACAATTTATATCACTCGAATCTTTATGGCTCCTACATTTACCATGGCTTTACTTCCAAAACTGTCCTAAGTTTCCATATTTGCCTGATGATTAAAATCCTTTAAAATATCTTCTACTAATGCAACTCACAGGGAATTCAGAATAACCAAAACACTAAATTTATTCCATATGCAAAAAGGTGACATTCTATCAACCACACCAGTCAGGGAACAAACTTGCACTGTTAAAACTATATGTGCAGAAATTATGAAAAGAATTAGTTAATAAAATCATTTTTGCTACAGTTAATTTATTACACTCAAACTTTGTACACATTGACTACTATTTTCTGAACAAAAAGATAACTTTTTTTTAGAAAAGGAGAGCCCATTGGCAGCCATGAATTGTTTTTCTGGTAGTGGGGAAGCCTCCACCCTACTTAACCTAGTCCCTCCTTTGGTCCAACCGCTTACTAGAGAGGAGTTTGGGCATAGCAAGAGTCTACATGCCTGTGTCCTACCTTATATCTACCCTGAAATAAGAAATCCTATAGGCCTACATGGGATTCAGACTCTTCATCTTCATTTCATTAACAAAGTACACTAATGAAATGAACAAACAGTTCAAGGAAATAAAAACAAGTAAATTGATACTCAAGGGCTCACTTATGAAGCAATTCACATATGCCAGGCACTTCACTAAGTACTCATGCATGTGACATCTTTAAATCCTTGCAATGTCCTTTGCATAGAGTAAGATTATCACTATTTCATGGATGAGGAAACCAAAGCAACAAAGCAAAACAAAAACTAGAAAATTTGCCCTAGATTGCAAAGTAAGTTGTGGAGTAGGGTTTCAACCCAGGTCCCTCTCACTCTAAAACCCACCTTAATCATGATATATGACTTCACAGTCTACGATCATAGTCATAACCATCTTAGAGAGATTATTATACTAACATTGTAAAAGAGTTGAAAAAGTATAAATTATCTCTGCCTAGGGAATAAAATAATAACAGCAGCTATTATAGATGCATCAGAAATTATGCTGTTAACCCTGAATTCTCACAATCACCCTGAAGCAAAAGTACTATTCTCATTTTAAAGGTGAAGATGTTGAGGGAGGTATAATTAACTTTCCCAATGTCATTCAGATATGAGATTTGAATTCAGGTCTGTGTGTTTTAAGTATATCCACATCTTTTCACTTCCATACTACTCCTTACTTATTCTATAAAGGGAAGACAAAAAGAAAGCTAATACAAATTCAGTACCCACTAGGTACCAGGTACTGGGAAAGTTGCTTTTACAAGTAAAACCAGTGAATAATCTTAGGAAACTTGTCCAAAGGTCACAAATCTAGTAAATTGTAGAGTCAAAATAAGAACAATATTTTCCTCAGCAGTGATGGTAATATTATTATTAACAACAACCAACATTTATTTTGCCCTTACTATGTATCACATACTGTTCTAAGAGCTGGGCCACTGATGCATGCCAAAAACACAATCAAGTAACCAGAATTCCAGAGAGTGAAAGAAACTAGTTGCTGCTGGCACATAGATCTTTACCTGTTTCTCTCAAATTTTAGAGTTATCTATAGCATCTATTTAGGGGATCTTATTTTTTTTCTTTGTTTTGATATGGAGTCTTGCTCTGTCACCCAGGCTGGAATGCAGTGGCGTGATCTTGGCTCACTGCAACCTCTCAGCTCATGGCAACCTCTGCCTCCCAGGTTCAAGCAGTTCTCCTGCCTCAGCCTCCTGAGTAGCTGGGATTATAGGCTTGCGCCACCACACCCAGCTAGCTCTTGTATTTTTAGTAGAGATGGGGTTTTGCCATGTTGGTCAGGCTGGTCTCAAACTCCTGACCTCGTGATCCACCCATCTTGGACTCTCAAAGTGCTGAGATTACAGGCGTGAGCCACTACACCCAGCATAGGGGATTTTATGAAATGCAGATTCTTGCGTCCTACCTCAGACTCACTACATCAGCATTTCTCCCATCCAAGTACTAACTAGCCCAGACCCTGCTTAGCTTCTGAGATCAGACGAGATCGGGACCATTCAGGGTGGTATAGCCATAGACTACATCAGCATTTCTAAGGAGTGGAGCCCAACAAACTGAATATTAGTAAGCTGCCCCAAATAATTCTGATGTACATTCAAGTTTCAAAACCACTAATCTATAGGAGCAAATGAACTGCTTATCTTCCAGTCTGTTCTCTATAACTATCTTCCTCAGTTGAAATTTTAGTATAAATTAATTTCTTTGAAAATTATAGTCAGCTTTCAGTATTCTTCACTAAGTCAGATTAGTCTTGCCTTCACTTAACTGTGGTTAGTAAGGTGTGGTACAAACACAAGAACATACACACATATTGCACCAGGTAAAAAGACAAATGGAAGTGAGAGAAGTTTCTTAAGTGCTTATGCTATATGTCCTATTATGTATATTTTTTTAAATTGGTGGGTATCTTTTATATAACTGTATAAAAAGTAAAACAGAATATTCACATGTTAAGTAGGATTAGATTATAACTTATTTTGCTAGTGTCCACCCTGAAAAGAGATATATTGTCAATTTTTATTCAGTTAAAAAAACCAAATGCTGTCAAAATAATACCCCCTCACTTCACATATCCAAAAACAATCATAGATAACCCTGAGTAGCAATGTAGCTAATCAATGGAAATTCTGCCCGAAAGATGACAAAGTTCACCCAACAGGCAGGCCTACTGGATGCTCAGGCAATCCCTATACAAATATGAGAATACAGGAGTCAATTAAGAAATTGTGTTGGTGCCAAGAATAAAGCCAAAATGACCATGGCAATAAGCAGAAACTTAAAGTTTTTAATAAAGTTATTTAAATGTCATATAAATTTCAGCATAACATTTGGAAATACTGTTTTATATAGCAAGTGGATTAAAAATATAGTAACATGGCTAGGCGTGGGGGTTCATGCCTATAATCCTAGCACTTTGGAAGGCTAAGGTAGACAGATCACTTGAGGTGAGGAGACCAGCCTGGCCAAAATAGTGAAACTCTGTCTCTATTAAAAATACAAAAATTAGCTGTGCGTGGTGGTAGGCACCTGTAGTCCCAGCTACTTGGGAAGCTGAAGCAAGAGAATCACTTGAACCTGGGAGGCAGAGACTGCAGTGAGACAATTCACTGCAGTCCACATCACAGTACTCTTCTCGCCTGGGCAACAGAGAGAGAGAGAGACTCTATCTCAAAATAAATAAATAAATTAATTAAAATAGTAGCATATAGGAAAGAAAACTAATTCAAGTCATGCACTAAGAAAATTTTTCTTCTAATTCCAACAGAATACAATCTATGAAAGCAAGTGTATGAACACTGATAATACGGAGGTTGAAAAATGTTAGACATGACACTGGTTATCATAAAATTGTTTGGCAGTCTCTACCAAGGATATATATAATGTAACCTATGATTCACAAATATACTTTTCAATATAAACCCAGAAATATTTCTACATGTACATACACATAAAATGTTCATAACAGTTTTACAATAGCCCAAAACTTAAAACAACCCAGTATTCTATCCATCAACAGTAGATGAATAGATTGGGTGTATTTGTACATGGCATATCACACAACCATGGAAAAGAAAGAATTATTGTCACATAGATGCACATGAATGAATTTCACAGGCCAAATGTTGAATAAAAGAAGCCAGAAGAGAATATATACATAACTTCAGCTTCATGAAATACATAAACTAGCTAAACTTTGGTGACAGAGATAGGAATAGTTTTTGCCCTTTAGGTGGAAGATATTGACTAGGAGGGGTCACAAAGGATCTTTCTAGGGTGCTGAAAATGTTCTATATTTCAAGCAGGCAATGGTTACATGCATGTGTACAATTGTAAAAATTCACTGAGCTGCACACATAAGGTTTCTATATTTTTCAGTATGTAAATTGTAACTTGATTTTTTAAAGTTAAAAAAATCATATTCCTCAATGTTGAGTTTATATAAGCAAGCTGACTATGACTCACAGGCCATAAGCAACAGCTTAGTGTTCAAATGCACAGCCTATGCACCTAGTCCTGGAAATAGGCTAGTCTTCAGCTACTCTTAAGATAAAATCAAGACGCATATTAAAAAGCTATCTAAGGCCAGCCATGGTGGCTCACGCCTGCAATCCCACCACTTTAGGAGGTTGAGGTGGGTAGATCACCTGAGGTCAGGAGTTTGAGACCAGCCTGGCCAACATGGTGAGACCTCTGTCTCTACTAAAATACAAAATATTAGCTGGGCATGGTGATGTGTGCCTGTAATCCCAGCTACTTGGCTGGCTGAAGCAGAATGTCTTGAACCTGGGAGGTTGAGGCTGCAGTGAGCCAAGGCCATGCCTCTGTACTCCAGCCTGGGTGAAAGAGTGAGATTCAGTCTCAAGAAAAAAAAAAAAAAGCTATCTAGGCTGGTGCAAAAGTAATTGCAGTTTTTGATATTACTTTCAATGGCAAAAGCCACAATTACTTTTGCACCAACCTAATAGTAATGATGTGTGTGAGATACAACTCTAAGCACTTAAGACACAAATTCATATAATTCAATAAAAAGTGTAAAAAGAGCAAATATTTATTTTTCAATATAGTAACCACAATTCTTTAATTCTATCCCAGGTGAGAGAATATTGACGGTAGCTACACATAAGCCACAAAGCTAAGTTAATATATGTACGGACTAAGTTAATATATGTACGGACCAATTCTGCCACATTATTATTGCCCTAATTCTGTAAAGATTTCACCCTTAATCAAGTCATAAGTTGAATGTGGTCACTGGTGAAAACATAATACTTAAACATTTCTAAAACTGGATCTACTCACATTTATGATAATGTTCAGAGATTTATCGTCGGGAAGGAAAATGCACACGCTGCGGCGGTCTTGCATGACTCTGTTGTTATGGAAATTCAATTTGTTCATTGTGTTTTGGGCTCTCTGGTGGTCAGGGCTGGGCTCTAGGTCCTCGGCAATTCCTCAGGTTCCCAGCACACGAAAGCCAAGCTTGCCTCCTCATCACATGCCCTGCAGGAGAAGCATCATGGTGCTTGACTACGTGGGTTTCATAGCTGTAGAAAAGCCAAAGGGGAGACTCCTGAATAAAGGCGGTGAAGATTGTGAAGAAGGGGTCAGGAAGATAAGCACAGCACTACTATTCTTGTGGGCACAGGGACCAAGGACGGCATGTCTCCAGCCAGCGCCACCTTGATACATGAAAACTCACTTAAATTCATTCTGTATTTTGCCCACAAAGTTTTAAACCTTTCATCCACAGTCAGGAGTTAAACTTATAACCAATGAGAGCCTCTCACATTCAAGGATGTACTAAGTACTACAGGGCTCACAGAAACAGAGATGCTGTCTTGGAGGAGTTTTCAGTCCCACATGGGAGATAAAGAAAGGGTTTTGAATATGAAATGACAAAAACAGCAGCAACAAGAAAATACTCTTTCTTTTTTATTACTATCAAACTCAAATAAATGTCTTGGCTCTCTCATTACATTCATTCTTCAACCATTGTGGTCTGGCTTCTACTTCCTTCATTTCACCAACATGGCTCTGCTAAAGGAAGTCCGTGACCTCTAGCCCATCACTTTATTTGATCTCTCTACAACATTTATCCTGGTTAAGCCCTCTTTATAACATTCTTCTTCCTTAGTTTTTATAACTCTTTCTCCCCTGATGTTTTTTTTGTTAGTTTTTTTTTTTTGAGACGGCGTCTCACTCTGTCACCAGGCTGGAGTGCAGCGGTGCAATCTCGACTAACTGCAACCTCTACCTCCTGGGTGCAAGTGACTCTCCTGTCTCAGCATCCTGAGCAACTGGGACTACAGGCACATGCCACCACACCCAGATAATTTTTAATATTTTTAGTAGAGACGGGATTTCACCATGTTGGCCAGAATGATCTCTATCTCTTGACCTCATGATCCACCCACCTTGGCCTCCCAAAGGGCTGGGGTTACAGGCATGAGCCACAATGCCCAGACCCTGCCCGAGTCTTTAACCTGATAACGCAAACTTAATTTTTTCATTTATTATTTCATAAACTAATATATAGATAAAACAAGACCGCATATATCAAATCATATTTGTACAGAAAAGTGTGATGGATTTTGGACGTCCCTCATATCTAATTAGTTCTATTAAACATATTAATTGTATTATTTGATTTCTCAGGTTTTTGACAGAGAATTTTGTTTGCAAGTAATAGAAATTTTATCTCCAATTTTCAATAATTACACCAGTTATTTCTGTTTTATGTCTCCTTGCAGAATAATTTTAAAACAGAAGTGGGTATTTTCTACTTTTAATGGGTGTGTCTAGTGTTTCATGTACTTTTGCTAATAGAACACTGTTCAACCAAGACATGTCAAGTCTAGTTGCCTCTTAAACCATTAGTATTCATATTATTCCTTTCCAGCTACAACTGTAGGATGTAAAAGACCATTTCCAGGAATATGGAACTGTTTCACTAGGAGGAGAGTATATATAACTATACAATTTTCACAGCAAATACATTAATACTCACATAAATCAAAGCATAAATAAGATAGAATCTTGGCCAATTTGCTTAAGGTTAAATGTCTAACTCTCATCAGCGGGAGGGGAAAGAATATATTCTTAGATAGTTGGCACATTTAGAAAACATAATCTAGTATTCTTTTTAAAGTATAAATAAAACATCATTTATAAAAGAATCACTCAAAACAAAAACAAATGGTAATCACATATATGGTACACTTCATTATTAGGAAGGTGGCTAAAAGCCAATTTAGAAGTATTCTGCTTTTCTTAAAGAATAATAATCATTTTATGTTAGCTTATAGCCAGCACATCACCTTGTGGGGTAATCGGAGGCCTGTGCTATGTTCTCACTAGGATGAATGGTTAACCCATATGTTCTATGACCACAAACTACACTCTAATCTACTCATTCATCTGGAAAAAATGCATGCTTTTAGTTTACCAATTCCAAAGCATCAGTTGGAGGACCAGTATTGGCTGCATCAGATGTTTGTAATTAAATACAGAATCCCGAGAAGGTATAGAAATAGAAATTCTGGCATTTTTACTCATACAGAATCTCCAAGGTCAGGGCCAGTTATTTCTGATGTGTAGCAACAGATGAAAACCATCACTTTAGTTAGCAGAAGGAAGGCACTGAGCAGAGGGTTGCATATAATACACTGGAAAAATATCTTAAAGATAAAGAATTAGGAAAAAGTAATACATGTGAATGATATTACATCATCATAATAGGAAAAAAAGTCCTCAACATTATCAAAGGTATAAATTTCTACAAGTCAAATAGGTTTGCAAAGTACTGTACCCTATATATGTTCTCTCTTAGAAATTCAGGAAGTGTTTAAGGCTCTGAGAAGACCTGCAGGCAACTTCTTAAATTTAATGCACTATTTCTCAAACTTACTTGAGCACACAATACATTTTTCCCCCAATGAATATCTATTAAGGTCCTACAGAACAATATTCTTAGGCATACCATTTAGAGATGCAATTCTAAAATGATTTTCTTACCAAATATATTTCATGGTAAAATTTTTCCCTATATATTGATATATTCCTACATTTAGTCTTCTTTTTTGCTATATAAATCTTTTCAAAAAGAAATTATAAGCTCTGATTAAATGTATCTTAAATTCAAACCCTTAAATAATATTTATCCCAGTATAATTCTTATTTAAATCTATACTTAAAATTGAATTAGTCCTATCATTTTTCACTTCTAATTAAACCAATTAAAGCAGGGTATGTCTACTGACCTCCTTTCCAGAATTAAAAAAAAAAAAATAACTAGGAAAAATATCTTCTAAGCTTTGGGATGTTTCCAGAACTTCATTAAAATAACTTGAAATTTGCATTTGGGTACAACTTTTACTTATTTTATGGTTCAAATATGCAGCACAAAAGATGATTGCAAGAGGATTATTGAAGCAAATTTAATAGAAGCAGAGTCTACATGAAGTAGTGCTACTTCACTGCTGCTTTCTCTGCTTTGAGGATGGCAAACTAGTAAAGCCCTTAAAGAGAGAGATTAAGTTTTTACTTTACCCAAGACAGCATTAAAGCTGATTAAAAGGTTCCACTGAAATGGCAAAATAGCCCTATCTCTATCATGTGCCAGTATAAAACTTAATCTTAAATTGAGCAGTCCTAGGGAAAAGAATTAGATTAAATTTATACCAATTTGAATTCTGGGAGTCACCCTCACAGCTATATATTCTGCATCCTAAACTAAATTCCAACTCAGTCACAGGAGGACACATTTCCTACTAGAGGGCAACCCTTTTTAGCCCAACATGTTGTAGTAACATATTTTCCAAGGAACAAAAAACCAGTTTTAATAGTGATCAAACCCCACCCAGCCTCTTTATTAATACCCAACTTACAAAAAAAATATGTTAAGCTATACAATTCCCCCACTAGAGTTTTAAGCCCACATTATTATGAGTCCCTTATTTCCTCATAAGTCCCAATGGTTACAAAGTTACTCAGTTTCTTTTAAGAATCAGGAAGCCACCACCCATGGGCATTCAATACTGATTTCATTTTTAATGAAGTGTGGGAAATAAGCTTTAAAACTGGGTCACTACCCCTAAAAGTATGCATTTTAGTTACAATGTATCAATACTGATTTGTTAGTTGTAACAAATGTATCACAAACATGTAAGATGTTAGCAACAGGGGAAACTGGGTGCCTGTGGGTATACAGAAACTCAATATGAACTTTGCAACTTTTCTCTAAATCTAAAACTATGGTATTTTTTTTTTAATTTTAAAATCAAAAGTAGGTCACCAGAAATTTCCTACCTACATAATATAGTCTCATTTTGAATGGAGGCAAAGGAGGATTTTCAATTCTAGGACTGTCTCTTTAAAAAAGCAAAAGGATGGTAATTTCATGAGATTACTATAAGTGAAGCATGACTAAGTAGGTATATGTCAACAGTCAACATGGTATCTTTATTACCAGGCAAAATTTTATCTTGGAAAACTGTATTGCAGAGAATCCTATCTTCTAATTTAATCATCACACATTTATATAGCTCATGTTATACTCAGTACCGTAATATTTACTTGCTGAAAAGCAGAATACAAAAGCAATATTCCCCCTCTACCTATGAGTTCACCATCTAATGAAGAACATATCACTGCCAAGAAGCTTAAGATGATAGTAATACCCCTGATTTCTAAGAGCACACATACTTTGATGGGCAACTCTCATGCAAAACTCAAAGGAAGATATAATGAATAATAGCATTAGTATACAAATACTGTGCTATGAATAATGTAGCTAAGATCATTCTGGAATAAACAGTGTATCATCTTTAATGAATAGTATCCTATCACAAAAGTGTTATCAAAATGTCTTTAGTAAAACATTTCTTTTTGTTCTTTTTTTCATTCATTCATTCAATACCTACTGTTTGCCAAGTTCTGCTGTATGTGCTGAGTACACTAACAGCATTAACAAAACAAATACCCTGCTCTAACAGAAACAGACAATAAGCATACGACATAGACAGTGATATGTACTAGGAAGAAAAATAAGCCCAGAATAGATGAGAGTTGATAGAGATATGGTTGTGGTATGGATGCTATTTCATATAGGATTAATCAAGGGAAGCATCTCTAATGAGTCAATATTTAAGGAAATATCTAAATGAAGAAAGAGATGTAATTTCCTTCCATAGGTCCATCCGTCTATCCATCCATCCATCCATCCATCCATCCATCCATCCATCCATCCCAGGAAAGAGTTTTCCATGCCAAAACTCACTTATTGTTCAGAAAACAGAAAATAATAGTGTTAATGATAGCTAGCATTTACTACAAACTTAATATGTTCCAGGCACTGTTGTTAACAACAGTGGTACGTACCTATGGTATGTTAAAGAAACCTGAAAACTCACTGCCATGCTTCCCATTCAGAGGTGGGATCTACTTCCCCTCTCCTTGGATCTGGGCTGCCCCTGTGACTAACTCATGCTCAGTAAGAAGAT